AAGCCACGCGCAGTCCCGGAAAAAGTGCAATGGCCAGGCGCTGTCGGGAACGTTAAGTAATAACAAATCTGTTCCGACAGCCTATCATAGGCGAAACGGCTGCCCTGGCGCTGTGCAGCTATAGGCTGCATTGCCGCGAGCTAGGATGTATCATGTAGCACCTACTAGGTATCACGATATCTTGCCCTGTCTTGTATGCGGCCGTACGATAGCGTCTTGTGGAGGCCATGATGCCGTCGACCAGCTGCCAGCGCCCAGAGCGTGCTAGCAGGCCATGGGAGAAATCTAGCGAGGCACTTAGAAACAACAGCACCTAGCCAACATCACGCCAGAACACATAACTTGCAGCGGTATTCCTCATAAGTCTGCGGCCTGTACTCGGGGGTACGGTAAAGTCTGTGGAATTATGTAGAGCCAAGATACCCACCTGGATTCACGTGGTACTTCTGTTGCTATGGGACCTATGGAGCCAAGGAAAAGTGGTGTAAAAAAGGAAGTATGATAAAATGCTATATACATGACAACACTAATATATGAGAAAATGCAATCATTTTGTAAAACGACTCAAAAAAAATATTGCAACCATGAAACGCAATCAAAAAACTCAAAAAACTTGAAACTTGTAGGAAGGGCAAAAAAAAAAAAAAAAAAAAAAAAAAAAATCTCATACCTCAAGTGAAAATCAATAAGGCGTCGCCTCCCCATTAGGTTGTTGCTGAAAGAGGGGGATTATGTGTCGTATCCTGTATATACTTGTATGTAAAGAGGGGCAGGCCGGAGGTTCTGCTCCTCTCTCCTAACCTACATTATACAAGAAAAGTTCTTTCTTAAGATTTCCGGCCTTGAGTGAAGGAATCCTCCGACAGTACTGTTCTCGTGCCCAGCGGAGTACTAGTGCTAGCAGAGGACTGTCAACACTAATAGAAAAATCATTAAGTTAGCTAACAGGTTAGATATAGTAGAAGAGCTATTAAACCTACCTATTGAGCTGAAGCTGCTGATAGAGAGCGGTCGGACGTGAGAACAGAAAGCTACCGATACCAGACTCTCATGATCTACTGTTTATTTTCTGTTGCAACCGCGCGCATTCAACATGCCCACTACTTGTTTACTGGCTGGTCAGTGTTGACCCATCACAGCTGCAACAGAAGTACCACGTGAATCCACGTGAGTACCTTGGCGCTGCATATTTCCACAGACTTACTGGCAACCCCGAGTACATATAGTCTCGTAACCAGACTACTGTACATATACCCGTGCATCCCTTCACTCCATTTCCACAAAGAACGTCTGGCTCCGATCACACGACACATGATTCCTCTTGCTGCTACATTGTTTGATATCTGCCATTGGCACCTCAAGACCCCCTATTTGGCCTTATAGCAGCCTACAAAGCCGACACATTTGAGAAGAAGGTGGATTTAGGGGTTGGAGCTTACAGGGCCGATAATGCAAAACCATGGATTCTGCCAGTTGTGAAAGAAGGTAGATACAGAGTGAACACATTATATAAACCAGTACCAAATAACTAGCAACGAGATTTATAGGCGGAGGAAATTGTGAAAAGTGATCCTGATTTTAATCATGAATACCTGCCCATCGCAGGGCTGCCAGCGTTCACCTCCGCAGCTGCGAAGTTGGTTTTTGGAGCGGACAGTCCAGTCATTAAAGAGAATAAGGTTTCCCTGAATTCATGCCATATAGTATTACATTGCAGAGTGAGTTTTAACATTTGCTCGCAGGTTGCTTCTCTACAAACAATTCCTGGCACTGGGGCAGTTCACCTGGGTGCCCTATTCCTCGTCAATTTTATCCTCGACCAGAGAACCAGAAACTATACTTCTCAAATCCTACCTGGGCTAATCACGCGCAAATCTTCTCTAATGTCAGTCTTCCTACTACAACATACCCATATTGGGACCCAGCAACGAAAGGCCTAAATATTTCTGGTCTTTTAGAAACTCTGGAAGCTGCCCCAGAGGGCTCCATAAGCTTGCTTCACGCATGTGCGTATAACCCCACTGGAGTTGATCCCACCCAGGAACAATGGGTTCAGATTGCTGAAGTGATGGGGAAGAAGAGGCATTTCTTTTTTTTTGACTGTGCCTATCAAGGATTTGCCTCAGGTGACCTTGCAAATGATGCCTGGGCAGTTAGATATTTTGCCGAAGCCGGGTTTGAAATGTGCGTTGCACAATCATTCTCAAAGAGCCTCGGACTCTACGGACAGCGTGCGCGATGTTTCCATTTTGTCACTCATACAGAAGATGCTCGCAACCGCATTCTCTCAGCTTCAAATATTACAAAGGAGTGAGATATCGAATCCTCCAGCCTATGGCGCGAAAATTGCTGCAACGATATTCAACAATGAGGCACTTTTCAAAGAATGGGAGGACAATTTGAGAACGATGAGCGGGAGGATTATTGACATGCGGAAGGCGCTGCCCGACAAATTGGTTGGGCTGGGAACGCCTGGGGATTGGTCCCATATCACAAAGCAGATTGGAATGTTTAGCTTGTAAGTTGCCGTAAACCTCATTAAATGAGATCTGCTAACTTTAATCCCAGCACAGGCTTTGACAGAGTCCCAGGTTTTGAGGCTTCGAGGGGAATATCATGTATACCTTGTAAGTGCTAGCTGTAACAATTCCCGGTCAGTCTGATACGTGATGTGATTTATAGACCAAAAACGGAAGGATATCAATGGCATGACTGAACACACGCAATGTAGAGTATTTTGCTATAGCTATGGATAAAGTTGTGAGAGAAATGCAGTGAGAGGGTTCGTTGTCTTATAGTCCTGATGCTACCTTCTTTTGAACTGTTACAAAGAAGTAACAAGGGGCGCTAGTCAGCAAGACTGGTAAGCGCTACGACGTGGAGAGTACGACAGCCTGACAAGCGGGCTCCATAACAGGTGCGTATAAAATCGAGTGCTAAGCGGCCCGTACGGATACTCCTATATATTCCGACCGTACTACCGGCGGTCACCGGTAGTTTTACCTTTTGGTGCAACAGTTTGCGAAACGGCCGGTTGCAACTCATAACAAGAGCTGATTCTTTTTTTTTTTCTTTTTCTTTGAAATTGACGCATTTCTCTGTGGTTTCAGTATTCTCGGTGCCTCACCACAAGCACCATAGCGGAATCTGAGAAACTCACAACGGGGCTGGATTGTTTATGATATCCCGAACAAGCGTGGGATATCCCTGTTTTGTAGATTAAGAATCCCACATTCTATTAGCCCCCCAAACTTCTCTAGTGACATGCCCGAAGCAGTAATCAAATGTGAACTGGGGGTGTGATACACTTGAAGCAAGGCAAGTCATTACCTGATTAGAACTGGCGGCTGCTGTTCTTCTGATAATACTTGAGATTTGGTATATATATTCAACATAAAATCTAACATATTGTGAACTCTGATGGAGATGAAGCAGTTTTGGTGAAAGAGGGCTCACAGGGCTGGCCAATTGGAATACATTTGATTTATAGTCCTTGGTATACCTCTGAAGTCAATATCTTGCATGCATCCTATAATGAAAGTACATCTCGATACTTGAGACTGCGCTCGTTTCTAACCTCTCTATCCTTTTTGCAATGCATTGCATTGCGGGGTAGGGGTAAAACATCTCGTCACTTGCCCCGCTGTCCTCAGATTACCCCACCATAGGTAAGTCTTGGCAGGTTTGTTACAAGTAGCTAAAGTAACGGTCCCACTATCATTCGAGTGGGAGTCTATTTAACTGGTACGGGTTGAAGGGAGATGGGAGATGCGTCGTCACTTGGGGTTCCGAGTCTATGGAGTATCACCCGCTGCAACTGCCAACTGCGCTCCGCGGGATCTACAGTAGTTTGTTTACATAACGTTCGCTTAATATGCTGCCAAAACAATCTCGAAAATGCGTAGAATTCGATAACCATGATGTCAACATTGCCAAGACTCTCTAATGCAAGTGTAGGCGTGTCTCACCAGCCCAAGAGATACCTGGTTAGCCGGTAGGGACAGAACGGAGTTGAGCATAAGAGAAGAGGATTAAAAAAGATCTATGCAATAGTGACCCCATCTATACAGGTTTGCCAAGGCGCCCGGCATGATCCCAGTCTGAAACAGCGTGACTTAAGCCTCAAGATCTCTTGGCAATTATGATCCGTTAGGAAAGAGGGTAGCCATATTAGGAAGTTGCAGGCATACTGGACGAGAAAACCTTTTTTTTCCCTGTTTTCATGACGCCACTGAGATTTTTCCCCTGTTCAAGTTTCGGATGATCAACTAATACTATTTTATTTAGTCTATTCATGATATTACATATCTTCACACTACAATGCAATAAGCATTAATTCTAGCGAAATATGCGACCATTGAAATTCAATGTAGTCACATAACGTACCGGTATTGAAATTTAATACAATATATCCTGTCGCATATTTTATATCTAGTTGCAAATTTTATGTATATTCTGGTCATCTATTTTATATTCTAGTCGCTTATTTCATTTCAAGTTCATAATATGAGAATATTACATAGAACTACAATATTAAAGTTCAATATAATATTCTGATAGCATATTTTATTGCGAACTTGAAAAAAACATGTGACTACAAATTATATATTGAATATGCAACTATATTGAAGGTTCAATGGTTGCATATTTCACTATAAATGAGTAGAATAAAGAATTTATTGCATTGGCGTACAATGTTATGTAATATTGTGAATAGACTAAATAATATAGTATTAGTTGATCATCCGAAACTTGAACATTACCATCGTACAAGTAGAGCACTACCACTTTCCTTGTTCTCGTACTGTCGCAAACCCCTGATAGAAGGTTTTAGAAGTAGCAGAAATGTGGAATAGATGAGCCTGAGCCGAAAAGAAGTATGAAAACGACCTTGCTTGCTTGCACCATAATCCAGATCCATGTGGAAAAATCGAAGTAATTGCGCATTAAGTATAGTGAGATTCACAATTACGGAAAATTATCGGCGCCAAAAAATTATTTGATGAGAGTGGGATTCGAACCCACGCAGGTTTCCCTACCAGGAGGTTTGTGCTAAGGATGGTTCCTTAACCTGGCGCCATAGACCAACTCGGCCATCTCACCTAGTCATTAAATAACTGCTCATTATTTATGTAATGACATATAGCCAGAACATGGATAGTGCACAAAAATAGCCAACATTCCAGTTATCAAATTGGAACGGACACACGCTGGTAACGACCTTAGGTCTAACCGCAAGACCGACTATAAATCGCAGAGTTCAAACAACGTCAAAATCTAGGCTTGTTTGAGAACTCGATGTTTGCGAAGTTGTCTACTTAAGTGCTCACAAGGATGAGGCGGGGGCAAAGTTGTAACTTGGGATAAGAGATACTATTGCACTCTATTCTCTGTGAATTTCATTATACACTTCAAGTTCTACATTAGAGATGAAGATGTGGAGAAATCAAGCGGTGATGGAGTAAGTGTAGAGAGAAGAGTTGGTACATTTATCAGAAGTCATCCATAAACATCGCAAACACCGGCGCAACCCAGACAAAAGCCGAACATGAAAAAGGAGCAAAGGATGTACAAGAAGTTATAATACAGAGCAGAAAAGGAGAAACCTAATATTGGAAATAAACTATTCATGTGAGTTGCATGTACCACGTAGAGAGACCCACACTACTATGCAAAGGAAATCAACAAGCTCAAATAACTGCTTTTGCACTTCCTCAGATTATCCCAAAACTTCCAGTCTAGGATTCAATTTACTCCTTCTTTTCACCTCCTTCCGTGGATTGTCCCTGGGATTGGGAAGCAGAATCGGCCTCAGCACGGGCCTTGTGCATCTTGTCGAAGAGGGTGAGCGTAGCAAGTTGGAAGTCATCGATCTTTTCTTTAAGCTGCTGGGATGTGACAGCGCCCTCTCCTGCCTGAGCTTTTGCGATGGTCTCACGAAGAGAAGCCATCTTCTCCTTGATGGCATCAACCTCAGTCTTGTCGAGTCTGTCGGCAAAATCCTTTAAGTTCTTCTCGGTATCGTTCAGGATGCCATCAGCACGGTTAGCAGCTTCGATGGCAGCCTTGCGCTCCTTATCGGCTTCACCATACTTCTCAGCATCATCAATCATAGACTTAATCTCGCTATCACTGAGACCTGATCCGGATGCAATGGTGATCGATTGGTCCTTGCCGGTGGACTTGTCTTTAGCGGAGACGTGGACGATGGAGTCGGCATCAATATCGAAGGTAACCTCAATTTGAGGAACACCACGGTGGGCAGGAGGAATGCCAACGAGTTGGAAGTTGCCGAGGAGCTTGTTATCTTTCACGAGCTCACGTTCACCCTGGAAAACCTTGATCTCGACGGCAGTCTGGAAGTCTGCCGCAGTGGAGAAGACCTGGAGTCTCTGTTAGCATCCGATTCAAATTCAAATGGGGATAATCAACATTGGTTGACATACCTGTGACTTTTTGGTGGGGATGGTGGTGTTGCGATTGATAAGCCTGGTGAAGACACCACCGAGAGTCTCGATACCAAGAGACAATGGTGTCACGTCAAGAAGCAAGACATCCAGGACCTCACCAGAGAGAACGGCCCCCTGGACAGCAGCACCAATAGCAACAGCTTCATCAGGATTCACAGATTTGGCAGGATCGCGACCGAAGATGCTCTTGACAGTCTCAACGACCTTGGGCATACGAGTCATTCCTCCGACGAGGATAACCTCTTGGATATCTTTCGGCTGAAGACCCGCATCTTTCAAGGCCTTGCGGCAAGGCTCGGTAGTCTTCTGGACCAAGGGGTCAACAAGGGCTTCGAACTGCGCACGGGTAAGCTTGGTGTTAATGTGCTTGGGGCCAGATGCATCTGCAGTGATAAATGGAAGGTTGATATCAGTCTGGAGGGTAGAAGAAAGCTCCATCTTAGCCTTTTCGGCCGCCTCACGGATACGCTGAATGGCCATGCGGTCATTCGAGAGGTCAATTCCGCTCTCCTTCTTGAACTGTTGAACGATGTGGCGGACAAGGGCAATGTCAAAGTCCTCACCACCTAAGTGAGTGTCACCATTGGTGGACTTGACTTCAAATACACCCTTTTGGATTTCCAAGATAGAAATATCGAAAGTGCCACCACCCAAGTCGAAAACTGCAACAACTTTGTCGGTTTCCTTGTCAAGCCCATAAGCAAGAGCAGCAGCGGTAGGCTCGTTGACTACACGAAGGACATTCAAACCGGCGATCTGACCAGCATCCTTTGTGGCTTGACGCTGGGAATCATTGAAGTATGCAGGAACAGTGACGACAGCATTCTTCACTGGCTTACCCAAGAATCCTTCCGCAGTTTCCTTCATTTTTTGAAGGATGAAGCCACCAATTTGGGATGGAGAGTACTTTTGTCCTCGTGCCTCGAGCCAAGCGTCGCCATTAGTGTGCGCAATAATCTTGTAGGGAACTTGGCCAATATCTTTTTGGACTTCTGGATCGGTGAATCGCCTTCCAATGAGGCGTTTGGTAGCAAAAAGGGTATTCTCGGGATTGACAACGGCTTGACGCTTAGCAGATACACCAACCAGCCTCTCACCATCGGCAGTGAAAGCCACAACAGAGGGGTGGTTCGAGCACCCTCAGCGTTCTCAATGACCCTTGGAATCTTCCCTTCCATCACACACACAGCAGAGTTCGTTGTACCTACAAGAGAACTTCATTAATCTCGGGTTCATATAGATGCCTCTCTACTTTACTGGAGAATACTTACCCAAATCGATGCCAATTACCTGTCCCTTCACCTTCTCCGCCCTTCCGTCGACTGGAATCGACGGAATGAGGCGTTGAGTGGGCTCCTGAAGGCATTGATTTTACTTACTGGAGCAGTTGCGCGGGAATCTGAAGGCCCACATTGGATTAGTCTGATATTCAATTCATTTTTGACAGCGGGGTAGAGGAAACTCTGCCACAGAGTAGCCGAAAACTTACCGCACGAGCAATTCTTGCAGCAAGCACCATGATGATACTAGATGAAGGAACGAACACAGAACAATCGATGAAGGGGTATGAAGAAGTAGTGTGTGTGCGGGAGGGAACGGGTGATGAGAGAGAGGCAGGCGCCGGTGGAACCGAACTTGAGGGAGATTTGTGATGATGGAGATGGACGAATAGGTGGGAGGTTAAATAGAGGGATGATGTAAGGCGTGAGAAAAATTCTTATTCGTAAAATCTTTTTTCCTTTTTTTTTTTTTTTTTTTTTTTTTTTTTTTCCCTTTTTTTTTTTCCCTTTTTTTTTCCCTTTTTTTTTTTCTTTTCTTTTAGCTTCTTACTCTTTTCAGGTCATCAGCCAAAACTTTTCCATGGCACCAAGAGAAACAGATGGAACCCGCCACTACCCTCTGGCAGGGCCTACTAGTGCTGACGGCTACTGTGGTATACTGTACGGACAGTCCTGCACAGAGGGGGCATCGGTGGTATCATACCCATCAGGTTGACGTCCTTGAGTTGTAAATCTTGGCGTACGGAGTTTGGCGAAGCGCAGGGGTAGAAGCCTGGTTACGACACTAGTGGAAGGCACGAGACTAGGGTGGGGACTGCCAGCATCGACAAATCGAGGAATCGTGGGGGCGGCTATCTCCAACATGGGCACTGGGCGGGTGGTGCAACGTCAGGTGCCTGTCCCTGAGCAAAGTATGGCTTTTCGGAGACTATTAGTAGGTTTCCAGGGCCGTCAGTTTACAGTATGCTAGCACGAGCACTTGATCTGCTTTGTATGTGAGGGTCTATTCGATCCCAGCCAGCATCAGTTACGCAGTACCGTACAAAGCAGCGTCCACGATGCATGCTACGCTACGCAAACGTTTCGACTCCTCCACAATGTTCTGAGATGCTATCTGGTTGCGCGCATATAATTGTCTAGTATTCTAATAGAAAGCGTAACACCACAGCGATTCTTATCACCGATTAAATGGCAGGGGATCCATAGAGAGCGATGGTTATGCATTTGCGAGCCTGGGGGCGTCTGGAGCGCTGGGGGGGGGGGGGGGGGGGGGGTATCAGAAGGCCAATGGAACGCTCCAAGTAGCAGGTCGTACCATGCACCCCAGTACGGGAGCATACCCATAGCTGCATGCGCGCAATATAGGTGCGGTCGTCGCAGTCTAATATCAGGAAGCATGCAGTACAAACAGCCAGTGCCATTGTTACGATCTACACGTACCTCACGAGCATGGGCTTGACTGAGCTGTAAACTATCGTCTGTTGGTAGTGCAGGCAGCGTGGCAATTGCACTGTGTGATAAACGCTTCCAACGGCTGTTGCTTTGCACAGAGTACTTGTGAAGTTGGGGCCGTCACTGTCACAGCAAACTGGCGACCAGTGGATGGGGGGGTGCGAGATGATACATGCGGCCCATCAACGGTAGAGTACGTACAATGAGGCGCCGGGGGGGGGGGGGGGGGAGGGAGCTTGGTACGCCAAGCCGCCAAGCCGCCACATCATTGGCCAATCCATCTGTGTGAGGCCGTCACCAGGTGCCCTTTCAGTGCAAGCGCGGTTGCTTGCTGGAGTACCTATGAGCTGCGTCTTGTGCTCGTCGCCGCCGCCGCCGATCTACAGAAGCAGTGCATTCGCATGGGAAAGGGAAGGTGAAAGGTGAATTGCGCGGAGGGGCACACGAGGGCGAAGAAACCGAAGAGGAGCAGCAGAGCGCCAACGCGAGCCAAGGATTTCTGCAGCAACGGGTATCCAGTCTCTGCGAGCGCAAGCAGAGCACAGGAGGAAGGCAAACCCACGCCCGCACATAGCACATAGCACATAGCAGACCGATCGAGGAGCTGCAGCCCGGCTCTCGTACAGCGGCCCAGCCAGCAGCAGCCAGCAGCAGCCAGCAGCCACACACGCTGCAGCGCGAGATCCAGAGGGAGACAGCAGGGCGGGCGACAGCACGCTGAGCCAGCGCGCATTGGCACGGAGCCAGGGCCAATTCTGACGCAAGCTGGCAAGCCCGGCGAGCAGCGGGCAGCGGCCGTCCAGACACGCCCGCCCTCGCCTGCGGTGCAAGTGACTTGTACGCTGAGCAGCGAGTGCAGTGCATACTGCTCGTCCTCGCGCTGTCTGCTGCGTCTCGTGGC